TATATACTAATTCTGGTTCATTTGAATCATAGCATACATATTGTTTTCTTTTTGTTAAATAATTTTTAAACCATTGTTTAGCAACACCCCTCAATCCATAGTATTCCAATTTACGTATAGGTATTGTATGGTCAAGAGTGTCAAATGCCTTGCTCAGATCCATGAATACTCCAATAACATGCTTATAAGTGGTCGCGGTCGAGAGTGGACGTGTTTTTCTGGAGCTCCCGTTTTCATTTTATTTTCTATTTTCTTTTCGCGAATTTTAACCTTCTAAGTTGTTTTTAACATCTCATCGTGAAAAGTAATCTTTATGCTACAAATCAAGATTAGTTTTGTGCTTTTTAATGGACATCTTCCTGCTTTACAGCGGTTTTAACTTTGGAAATTTTCGGTGAAGCAAATTTCCCGCCACTCGTCTATTCGCACAACACACAGCGTAGTGTCTTATACACAGCGACGAATACACCACGCTACACAGCGACGTATTCTACATACACGCGACGTGTCGAATATCTCCCGCGCCATCTTGGATCTTACGACATCGCACATTTTAGACTTCTACTTCGTATCGTGCACTTTTATATGTATTTTTATCGCCTGAATAAATTATTCCAAACTGATGCTTGTGGACAAAATTTTATTAGTAGACTTCAATTTTTTGAAATATTTTTAACCTCCGTCGTAAATTTGAAAGCAAGCGCTAACTTTGTTAGATAGTCTAGCACTTAGCAGCCCTACATCGACGACATGTTTCTCACCGGACATGGACGACGCGGATCCGGTACAAGATCTACTGAAAGCGAAAAGTAGCGAGAATCATCAATGCCAGCACTCTGCCTGCTCTTATTGATTTCCTTCTTCCAACTTGGACTACGGACCTACCGAGAATGTGAAAGGGACCCTTACCCTGGCATTCATGGTTTGTCAAGATACACCTAGAAGACTTACGGTAGGATTGTTCCTTTTTTTTTACTCTCACTTTGCTCCCCATCATGATATGTGCATGTTGAAAATGTCAGCATTCCAAACTGATTTACGAGCTGCGTACATAATCTCTTATTCGTCTGCACTAAATATATTTCGAGGAAATGGGCTAAAACATTCATCTACCCCCTTCCTGGGCCATCCTAGGGGTCGTCTACCACTGCTCATTATAATAAATCTATTGGCTGGGGACATTAGCCTCAACCCAGGCCCTGGGCCAAAAGTACACCAACGGCAACGTGGACGTAAGCCCAAATATCCTTGTGGGCTATGCTCGCGCGCTGTGAAAGATTCCGGCATTCAGTGCTCAGAGTGTACAAGCTGGTTTCATTTAAACTGTTCAAATGTGTCAAATAACACCTTAAATTTTCATGCTGAAAACTCAAACGCTATTTGGCTTTGCCCTCTGTGTGATGTTATGAACTCTGCTACTAGTTCATTTCTTGATTCATCAACTGACTCTGATCTGTCAGGATTAAATCCCTTTGAAAGTCTTACTTCCTTGAACGAAGACCAGTGGAACCACACGAACCCACGATCATCTAGCCCTATCCGTTCCGGACCTAGTAAGTTACCTCATAAGACTCGTAAGACTCCAATAAAAATGGACAGAAACCCTCTTCCCCCATTGAAACTCACAAGAATAGATAATACCTGGACAATTGTTGGGAAGGATGGAAAGACTAGTAAGAAAATCACTCCAAGTCCCATCGATGGAAATACACCTAAACCTAGACCAGACACCCAGAAGCAGAAAGCCCACCGAAACGTCACCGGTCACATTGGAATCCAAATTGCAATTATAAATTGTCGTAGTATTAGGGGAAAAACTGCAGGTATTACTTCGCTCATTGAAACTGTGAATCCTGATATCATTATTGGAACAGAATCTTGGCTGGACCCGTCAGTCAAGTCTGCCGATCAACGACTCCATTCCTTGTTTTGAAAGAACTGATTTGGGTACTGACTCTGAACAAATATGGTGTCAAGCTACCCTCCAAGGCCAGACGCTGCAGATAGGAAGTTTTTATCACCCACCTGACTCAAAAGTCGCACCTCTCCAGGACCTGGACTCACAACTTTCAAAAATAAACTCTTTGTTACGCTCTCCACTCATCATCCTCGGCGGCGATTTCAACGTCCCGGGTGTAGACTGGTCAGACGGAACACAAAGTGAACCTAAAGGTGCCCTCCAGGATGCCCTAGCTCAAGTTCTTATTAATAATCATTTGTCTCAAAAAGTCACCTTTCCCACTAGACGTGACGAGTCAAGTGGCACAGAAAACACCCTTGACCTGTTGTTAACTTCACATCCAGACTTAATTTCTGAAGTCTCTTCTCGTACTGGAATTAGCGATCACCTTGTCATCCTAGCAAAACTTCATACTAAGACCACGGTTCCTCCAAAACCACCCCGCAGACTTCACCTCTGGAATAAAGTAGATAATGAGGAATTCAAAGACCGGGCAAGACAGCTTGGAGAAGATTTCTTCAAGCTTCAACCAGGAAATAGATCCGTAGAAGAAAACTGGACCTGGTTAAGAGACACATTGGAAACTATTGTTACAAATAATGTTCCCCACAAGACTGTAAAGGGCCGAGCACGTACTCCATGGTTTACAGGGAAATTAAAACGCCTATGTAATAAAAAGGAGAAGCTATATATTCATGCCAAGAGAAGTGGTGCACAACGGGATTGGGACAAATTCACCAAAGCAAGAAAGCAGATCGATCGTACCATTAGAAGCGCCCACAGACAACATGTCTCTTCAATCCTCGAGGGTGATAACCCGAAGGCCTTCTGGAGGTACGTTAAATCAAGGCGGACAGACAACACCGGTGTCCAGATGCTTAAGGTAGAAGGCAAGCTAATCTCTGAAGATCTGGAGAAAGCTGAAGTCCTCGCCAACCAATTTCAAAGTGTATTTACCCGTGAAGACAAGTCACCGTCATCACTCCCCAACCTTCCACCCAGCCCTTTTCCTGATATGCCTCCCACCCGGGTTGACGTCGAAGGTGTAAAGAAGCTACTACTTAACATCAATGTCACCAAGGCCATCGGCCCGGACCAGATTCAGAACCAAGCTCTCAAAATTGCAGCAGAAGAACTGGCTCCCATCTTGCAGTTCATCTTCCAACAGTCACTCGATTCTGGTGATCTCCCACTGGACTGGAGAAAGGCAAATATCACTCCACTTTTTAAGAAGGGCTCTACCACTGACCCAGCAAATTACCGCCCTATTTCACTCACGAGTACCTGTTGTAAACTATTGGAACATATTATTGATAGTAACCTCATGAGCCACCTTAGCGAACTCGATATTCTGGCAGAAAATCAACACGCATTTAGGAGACACAGATCATGTGAATCTCAACTTATTTTGACGATAAACGACCTGGCTAAGAACCTAGATGAAAAAGCCACCACAGATTTGATAACACTTGACTTTTCTAAAGCCTTTGATGTCATCCCCCACCAGAAGTTACTTCACAAGCTAGATTATTATGGAATCCGTTCAGATAACTTAAGATGGGTGACAAATTTCCTTACAAAACGACTTCAACGCGTATGTGTAAACGGAAAACATTCCGACTGGAAGCCAGTTCTAAGTGGAACCCCGCAAGGCACTGTGCTCGGTCCCCACTTGTTCTTGCTCTTCATAAATGACATTCACGACAAAGTCAAAAGCACCACCAAGCTGTTTGCAGACGATTGCATGCTGTACCGTCCAGTGAAATCAATGAACGACGTGGACATCCTGCAACAAGACCTTGATGCAATGGTGGAGTGGTCTCAGAAATGGGGCATGAAATTCAACCCCAAAAAGTGTGAATCAATGCGTGTCACCAGGAAGAAGAAACCGGGTAAATCTTCATACAACCTCCTTGGTGTCACCCTGGAAGAATGTAAGCAGACAAAGTACCTTGGTGTTGTGATCCAGAACGACCTCCGATGGAATGGCCAAACTCACCTCGCAACAACAAAAGCTATTGGGGTTTTGAGTTTTCTGAGACGCAACTTTCATCACTGCTCAACTTCCATTAAGGAGAAACTCTATCTCACCCTCGTTAGGCCACACTTAGATTATGCAGTTGCTGCTTGGGACCCATACACAGCTAAGAACATTTCTTCTATCGAACGAGTCCAGAGGCAGGCAGCCCGTTTTGTCACAAGCACTTATCAGAGAGAAGCAAGCGTCACCCACCTTCTAAATTCTCTCAAATTCCCTCCAAGACAGACGCGAAGCTCACCGTCTAAGCTGTTTCCACAAAATGTTACATGGCCAGCTGGACATAGATCCCCGAACCCACATTAAACCTAAACCAGATCGTAGCAGACGCGGGCACTCAAGTCAGTTTGAAATACCATTAGCCAGATTGGATGTATACAAGAACTCATTTTTTCCTCGCACAACCGGAGCATGGAATAATCTCAATCCGACCTTAGTATTCCTGACTGACTCAGCAAAGTTTAAAGTAGCACTCCTTCTGAAATAAGTCCACTCTCTGCCACCACGACCTCCAGTTTAAATTCCACCAGGAATCTTTTGGAGGAACAACAACCAAGTACCAAGTTATAAATGATCAGCTAAGGCATTTGACACTCTATTAAATAATTGTAACAATGCTAACTCCGTTGAAAGAATTTTTCTAAAACCATATTGATTTTCATACAACAGTTCATCTTTTGTTAGAAAATCATACAATCTATTATAAGTCAATCTTTCTAAGACTTTAGAAATACTTGGTAAGATAGAAACAGGTCGGTAATTTGAAACTAGAGAAAAGTCGTCTTTGTTGTATTTTGGAATTACTTTTGCTATTTTCAGTGAGTCCGGAAAGACTCCTGTTGTAAGTGATTGTAAGCATTGAATATAAATTCAAATCAAATTTGGTCTTCTTTGGACGTGTTTTAAACTTTAATATGCCTTAGTTCGGACATGGAAAGTTACAAAGAATTAAATCTTCTTTAGCATAACAGAACACATGGACTTGGTAACAGTGTTCAATGGCTACTGGTTATGCATACAAACCTCCAACAAGCTCCTACGTCTTTGTAAAATCAACTCTAGTTCGGTAGGCTCGCTGATCTGAAAGAGTTGAGTAAGGATAAAGAGCATTTATAAAGCATGTGATCCAAACAGGACACAGTGACCCCCAATTTTATATTCTATATAGATATTTTATATATACGTACATTTCATTAAAACAAAATCAGTTGTCATCATTGTTTTAAATCCATGTTTTAGAAAAGGCAACACTTTCCCTGTTGGAGCCAAGTGTGTACCTAACTAATTACCCAGTGACATGACTAAACGGCTAAAAATGGTGGGAGGACAGAACAAAACATTGAGGGCAGCTTGGCAGCAATGATCGTTGGCTACAATTATGCGTACAAACCCTGTTTTCTGCAGATATGTAAAAAGACAACTCTGGGTAGGCTGGATTGATCATTTGAAAAAGAGTTAAAGAGAGATTTAAAATCATTTATAAAGCATGTGATCCAAAGAGGATAGTATGACCCCTAAAGAGGGTCGTTTGAATTATTCCCCTCCCTCCCCCCTTCCCTTGGATATTAAAGGTATGGGAAATTTGTATTTTGGAATATATGAACCAAAAGAAAAATAAATATTCAGAAAAATGAGTAACTCCAATATAATCATATATCAAAGCATTGCGCCTAGTATTTATAAGTACCAAAAGAGATCATTGTTTTCAATAAGAAAGACTGATTTCTATGACAAGGCAGATTACACAAGCTTGTTGCCTTCTATTTCTTTTAACATACTTACGGCAATGAAATTCCTTGTCTGTTTACATAGTAAAAGGACATGTTGGGTATAAACTTGGACCCAAAGTAAGAAATGGAATTGAAAATTTCAAGCACACAAACCAGTTTTGCAGTTGAATCACCAGACCTCTTTTCCCACTTCTCCTCCATCGACTGAAAATATATTAAAGCATAGACTTAGTTATATTAAAATGTGAGTTTATACATTCACAAAATGTAATTTATAAGTTTGGTAGCCTTATTTTTCAAGAATCAGAGACTGTTTAGTTGGAGCTTGTTCCCCCAGCCATATGGACTAAGAGAGACTCATATTAAGGGAATGGACAACATCATCGCTGATATGCTCTCTAGAGCTTAGGCATATCTACTGAACAGTTGTAAATTGTAGAACACCATGAAACAAGCCCTGGTCTACCCATTACATGAGATTTATTGAATAAAGAACATAAGGGTATTGTTATAAACTCTACAAAATAGTGAAGAATTTTGAGTGTTATCAAGTGACATAGTGTTCACTGACATAACAGTAGGAAATATAAAACTGAATTCTGAAAGTGCTGCAAGGTAGACGGGGGGGGGGGGGGCATTTACATTGACACAGAGATCTCTCCTATGGTTAGTGATTTGAAGATGAAAATTGGTAAACATATTGAATAGAGTATACACGACATTGACACAGAGCTAAAATCCCATGTTGGCAATACCCTATTATACTGTTACGTGAGGACTAAACAATGTGGAAAGAGAGTACAAAGCATTGAATATAAACTCAAATCAAATTTGGTCTTCTTTGGACGTGTTTTAAACTTAAATATGCCTTCGTTCGGACATAGGAAGTTCCAAAGAATTAAATCTTCTTTAGCTTAACAGAATACATGGACTTGGCAAAAGTGTTCAATGGCTACAGGATATGCATACAAACCTCCAACAAGTTCATTTGTCTTTGTAAATCCAACTCTTGGTAGCGTAGCTCTCTGATCTGAAAGAGTTGAGTACGGATATAGAGCATGTATAAAGCATGTGATCCAAACAGGACACTGTTACCCCAAATTTAATATTATATATGGACATTTTATAAATACATTTCAAGTAAACAAATCAGTCGTCTTCATTTTTTTAAGTTTGAATCCATGTTTTAGAAAAGGCAACACTTTCCCTGTTGGAGCCAAGTGTGTACCTAACTAATTACCCAGTGACATGACTAAACAGCTAAAAATGGTGGGAGGACAGAACAAAACATTGAGGGCAGCTTGGCAGCAATGATCGTTGGCTACAATTATGCGTACAAACCCTGTTTTCTGCAGATGTGTAAAGAGACAACTCTTGGTTGGCTGGATTGAGCATTTGAAAAAGAGTTGAAGAGAGATTCAAGATCATTTATAAAGCATGTGATCCAAAGAGGTTTGTATGACCCGCAAAGGGAGTCGTTTGAAGTATTCTCCATTTGTAGGCATTTGTTGGAGCTTGTTCCTCCAGCCTCATGGACTAAGAGTGACTCATATTAAAGGAATGGACAACATCACCGCCGATACGCTTTCTCGAGCATAGGCATATCTACTGAACAGTTGTAAGTTGTAAACAAAAAACATGAAATGGGCCCTGATCTACCCATTATACAAGATTTATTGAATAAAGAACATGAGGCTATTGTAACAAACTCTATGAGATACTAAAGAGCTTTGAATGTTTTCAAGTGATATAGTGTACACTGACATAACAGTAGGAAATATAAAACTGAAATCTGAAAGTGCTGCAAGGTAGACGGGGGGGGGGGGGGGGGGGCATTTACCCTGACACAGAGATCTCAGCTAAGGTTAAAGCGATATGAAGATGAAAATTGGTACACATATTGAATAGAGTATACACGACATTGACACAGAGCTAAAATCCCATGTTGGCAATACCCTATTATACTGTTACGTGAGGACTAAACAATGTGGAAAGAGAGTACCCCGGTACGGTACAAAGCATTGAATATAAATTCAAATCAAATTTGGTCTTCTTTGGACGTGTTTTAAACTTTAATATGCCTTAGTTCGGACATGGGAAGAATTAATCTTCTTTAGCATAACAGAATACACGGACTTGGCAACAGTGTTCAAAGGCAAAAGTTTATGCATACAAACCTCTAAAGAGATCCTTTGTCTTTGTAAATCCAACTCTTTATCGCGTAGCTCACTCATCTGAAAGAGTTAAGGAAGGATAAAGAGCATTTATAAAGCATGTGATCCAAACAGGACACTGTGACCCCAAATTTTATATTGGACATTTTATGAATACATTTCAAGTAAAAAAATCAGTCGGCGTCATTTTTTTAAGTTTCAATCCATGTTTTAGAAAAGGCAACACTTTCCCTGTTGGAGCCAAGTGTGTACCTAACTAATTACCCAGTGACATGACTAAACGGCTAAAAATGGTGGGAGGACAGAACAAAACATTGAGGGCAGCTTGGCAGCAATGATCGTTGGCTACAATTATGCGTACAAACCCTGTTTTCTGCAGATATGTAAAAAGACAACTCTGGGTAGGCTGGATTGATCATTTGAAAAAGAGTTAAAGAGAGATTTAAAATCATTTATAAAGCATGTGATCCAAAGAGGATAGTATGACCCCTAAAGAGGGTCGTTTGAATTATTCCCCTCCCTCCCCCCTTCCCTTGGATATTAAAGGTATGGGAAATTTGTATTTTGGAATATATGAACCAAAAGAAAAATAAATATTCAGAAAAATGAGTAACTCCAATATAATCATATATCAAAGCATTGCGCCTAGTATTTATAAGTACCAAAAGAGATCATTGTTTTCAATAAGAAAGACTGATTTCTATGACAAGGCAGATTACACAAGCTTGTTGCCTTCTATTTCTTTTAACATACTTACGGCAATGAAATTCCTTGTCTGTTTACATAGTAAAAGGACATGTTGGGTATAAACTTGGACCCAAAGTAAGAAATGGAATTGAAAATTTCAAGCACACAAACCAGTTTTGCAGTTGAATCACCAGACCTCTTTTCGCCCTTCTCCTCCATCGACTGAAAATATATTAAAGCATAGACTTAGTTATATTAAAATGTGAGTTTATACATTCACAAAATGTAATTTATAAGTTTGGTAGCCTTATTTTTCAAGAATCAGAGACTGTTTAGTTGGAGCTTGTTCCCCCAGCCATATGGACTAAGAGAGACTCATATTAAGGGAATGGACAACATCATCGCTGATATGCTCTCTAGAGCTTAGGCATATCTACTGAACAGTTGTAAATTGTAAAACACCATGAAGCAAGCCCTGGTCTACCAATTATATGAGATTTATTGAATAAAGAACATAAGGGTATTGTAATAAACTCTACAAAATACTGAAGAACTTTGAGTGTTATCAAGTGACATAGTGTACACTGACATAACAGTAGGAAATATAAAACTGAATTCTGAAAGTGCTGCAAGGTAGACGGGGGGGGGGGGGCATTTACCCTGACACAGAGATCTCAGCTAAGGTTAAAGCGATATGAAGATGAAAATTGGTACACATATTGAATAGAGTATACACGACATTGACACAGAGCTAAAATCCCATGTTGGCAATACCCTATTATACTGTTACGTGAAGACTAAACAATGTGGAAAGAGAGTACCCCGGTACGGTACAAAGCATTGAATATAAATTCAAATCAAATTTGGTCTTCTTTGGACGTGTTTTAAACTTTAATATGCCTTAGTTCGGACATGGGAAGAATTAATCTTCTTTAGCATAACAGAATACACGGACTTGGCAACAGTGTTCAAAGGCAAAAGTTTATGCATACAAACCTCTAAAGAGATCCTTTGTCTTTGTAAATCCAACTCTTCATCGCGTAGCTCACTCATCTGAAAGAGTTCAGGAAGGATAAAGAGCATTTATAAAGCATGTGATCCAAACAGGACACTGTGACCCCAAATTTTATATTGGACATTTTATAAATACATTTCAAGTAAAACAAGGGAAACGCTCTCGGCGGTCTCGCCTGCATAACGCAATTCAATATGATAAACCAGAACGTCAATGACGTAGCGCTCATCCGTAAATATCGTAAATTTTATGTGGTACACTTTTGAACTGGTCAAAAAATAGAAATTTGATGCCCTGGAAGGGACATAATTTCATTTCATTTGCATAAAGTACCATAAATAATCAATGGAGCAAAATCTCACAATTCTGTGTAGAAGTTTATTGTTCCAAATTTAGCTCTACCAGATAAGGCAAAATCGGTCAAGAAATGAGGGAAAAGAAGCAATTTTTGTTATTTTTGGAATAAATTTGCATAAATTACCATAATTAATTAATGGAGAACAATTTCAAAATTCTGTGTAGAAGTTTAGTGTACCAAAGTTAGCTCTACGATATAAAGCAAACCAAATCAAAATCGGTCGAGAAATGAAGGAGAAGAAGCCTTTTTTGTGATTTCGAATAAATTTGCATAAATTAGCATAGATAATGAATTTCACGATTCTGTGTAGAAATTTTAAATTCCCTCCTAGCCCTATCATATGAAACAATCAGAATCAAAATCGGTTGAAAAATAACGAAGAAGAAGCATTTTGAAAATCTTAAATTTGATGCCACAACAAAGTCTAAGTTTGTTGACCTTAAATGGCCTTTGACCTTAACTTAGTGACCTGAAATTCTACTCACATGATTGGGGAGACTTGATAACCCTATAGTCCAAGTTTCATTGACTAAGAACTTATACTTTCAAAATTATATCAAAAATTCAAAAACTTAACCTTAGGTTAAGTTTTCGATGATGATGCTACAACATAGTCCAAGTCTGTTGACCTGAAATGACCTTTGACCTTGACTTTGTGATCTGAAATTCTACTCACATGATTGGAGATACTTGATTACCCTATAGTCAAAGTTTAATTGACTAAGAACTTATACTTTAAAAATTATACCAAAAATTCAAAAACTTAACCTTAGGTTAAGTTTTTGATGTTGACGCCGTCGCCGTCGCCGTCGCCGTCGCCGTCGCCGTCGCCGCCGCCGTCACCGGAAAAGCGGCGCCTATGTCTCGCTTTTTGCTACGCAGGCGAGACAAAAATCAGTCGGCGTCATTTTTTTAAGTTTCAATCCATGTTTTAGAAAAGGCAACACTTTCCCTGTTGGAGCCAAGTGTGTACCTAACTAATTACCCAGTGACATGACTAAACGGCTAAAAATGGTGGGAGGACAGAACAAAACATTGAGGGCAGCTTGGCAGCAATGATCGTTGGCTACAATTATGCGTACAAACCCTGTTTTCTGCAGATATGTAAAAAGACAACTCTGGGTAGGCTGGATTGATCATTTGAAAAAGAGTTAAAGAGAGATTTAAAATCATTTATAAAGCATGTGATCCAAAGAGGATAGTATGACCCCTAAAGAGGGTCGTTTGAATTATTCCCCTCCCTCCCCCCTTCCCTTGGATATTAAAGGTATGGGAAATTTGTATTTTGGAATATATGAACCAAAAGAAAAATAAATATTCAGAAAAATGAGTAACTCCAATATAATCATATATCAAAGCCTTGCGCCTAGTATTTAAGTACCAAAAGAGATCATTGTTTTCAATAAGAAAGACTGATTTCTATGACAAGGCAGATTACACAAGCTTGTTGCCTTCTATTTCTTTTAACATACTTACGGCAATGAAATTCCTTGTCTGTTTACATAGTAAAAGGACATGTTGGGTATAAACTTGGACCCAAAGTAAGAAATGGAATTGAAAATTTCAAGCACACAAACCAGTTTTGCAGTTGAATCACCAGACCTCTTTTCGCCCTTCTCCTCCATCGACTGAAAATATATTAAAGCATAGACTTAGTTATATTAAAATGTGAGTTTATACATTCACAAAATGTAATATATAAGTTTGGTAGCCTTATTTTTCAAGAATCAGAGACTGTTTAGTTGGAGCTTGTTCCCCCAGCCATATGGACTAAGAGAGACTCATATTAAGGGAATGGACAACATCATCGCTGATATGCTCTCTAGAGCTTAGGCATATCTACTGAACAGTTGTAAATTGTAAAACACCATGAAACAAGCCCTGGTCTACCCATTATATGAGATTTATTGAATAAAGAACATAAGGGTATTGTCATAAACTCTACAAAATACTGAAGAATTTTGAGTGTTATCTAGTGACATAGTGTAAACTGACATAACAGTAGGAAATATAAAACTGAATTCTGAAAGTGCTGCAAGGTAGACGGGGGGGGGGGCATTTACATTGACACAGAGATCTCTCCTATGGTTAGTGATTTGAAGATGAAAATTGGTAAACATATTGAATAGAGTATACACGACATTGACACAGAGCTAAAATCCCATGTTGGCAATACCCTATTATACTGTTACGTGAGGACTAAACAATGTGGAAAGAGAGTACAAAGCATTGAATATAAACTCAAATCAAATTTGGTCTTCTTTGGACGTGTTTTAAACTTAAATATGCCTTCGTTCGGACATGGGAAGAATTAATCTTCTTTAGCATAACAGAATACACGGACTTAGCAAAATAGTTCAATGGCTACAGGATATATGCATACAAACCTCCAACAAGTTCATTTGTCTTTGTAAATCCAACTCTTGGTAGCGTAGCTCTCTGATCTGAAAGAGTTGAGTACGGATATAGAGCATGTATAAAGCATGTGATCCAAACAGGACACTGTTACCCCAAATTTAATATTATATATGGACATTTTATAAATACATTTCAAGTAAACAAATCAGTCGGCTTCATTTTTTTAAGTTTCAATCCATGTTTTAGAAAAGGCAACACTTTCCCTGTTGGAGCCAAGTGTGTACCTAACTAATTCTCGCTACCCTAAATAGGTACGAAAATCTCGAAATTCGCGAGACGAGGTAATTTTCACTCTCTCGGGTCGTCACTACAACTTCCGGTATAGAGTCCCATCCCGCTGGCGCTAGCGCCTGTGTTCGCTGTGCAGAGTTTTCACGCACGCTAAAATCGATGCCAATCAGTGTAATTTGTACAGATTATAATATGCAATGGAAAGCTTCGGGCAGAATTAGTGACTTTAGCACAAAAGGCCGTTAAACTCTACCGTGAAAGAGAGGGTTGTGATCACGAACGCCTGCACAGGAAGCTGTAATGTCGAAAAGCTATCCCATAATGCAATGCGCGTTTTCAGGATTTTCCCCGGATCTCGGCAGAATCGCTATTTGGGGTAGCGAGAATTACCCAGTGACATGACTAAACGGCTAAAAATGGTGGGAGGACAGAACAAAACATTGAGGGCAGCTTGGCAGCAATGATCGTTGGCTACAATTATGCGTACAAACCCTGTTTTCTGCAGATGTGTAAAGAGACAACTCTTGGTTGGCTGGATTGAGCATTTGAAAAAGAGTTGAAGAGAGATTCAAGATCATTTATAAAGCATGTGATCCAAAGAGGTTTGTATGACCCGCAAAGGGAGTCGTTTGAAGTATTCTCCATTTGTAGGCATTTGTTGGAGCTTGTTCCTCCAGCCTCATGGACTAAGAGTGACTCATATTAAAGGAATGGACAACATCATCGCCGATACGCTTTCTCGAGCATAGGCATATCTACTGAACAGTTGTAAGTTGTAAACAAAAAACATGAAATGGGCCCTGATCTACCCATTATACAAGATTTATTGAATAAAGAACATGAGGCTATTGTAACAAACTCTATGAGATACTAAAGAGCTTTGAATGTTTTCAAGTGATATAGTGTACACTGACATAACAGTAGGAAATATAAAACTGAAATCTGAAAGTGCTGCAAGGTAGACGGGGGGGGGGGGGGGGGGCATTTACCCTGACACAGAGATCTCAGCTAAGGTTAAAGCGATATGAAGATGAAAATTGGTACACATATTGAATAGAGTATACACGACATTGACACAGAGCTAAAATCCCATGTTGGCAATACCCTATTATACTGTTACGTGAGGACTAAACAATGTGGAAAGAGAGTACCCCGGTACGGTACAAAGCATTGAATATAAATTCAAATCAAATTTGGTCTTCTTTGGACGTGTTTTAAACTTTAATATGCCTTAGTTCGGACATGGGAAGAATTAATCTTCTTTAGCATAACAGAATACACGGACTTGGCAACAGTGTTCAAAGGCAAAAGTTTATGCATACAAACCTCTAAAGAGATCCTTTGTCTTTGTAAATCCAACTCTTTATCGCATAGCTCACTCATCTGAAAGAGTTAAGGAAGGATAAAGAGCATTTATAAAGCATGTGATCCAAACAGGACACTGTGACCCCAAATTTTATATTGGACATTTTATGAATACATTTCAAGTAAAAAAATCAGTCGGCTTCATTTTTTTAAGTTTCAATCCATGTTTTAGAAAAGGCGACACTTTCCCTGTTGGAGCCAAGTGTGTACCTAACTAATTACCCAGTGACATGACTAAACGGCTAAAATTGGTGGGAGGACAGAACAAAACATTGAGGGCAGCTTGGCAGCAATGATCGTTGGCTACAATTATGCGTACAAACCCTGTTTTCTGCAGATATGTAAAAAGACAACTCTGGGTAGGCTGGATTGATCATTTGAAAAAGAGTTAAAGAGAGATTTAAAATCATTAATAAAGCATGTGATCCAAAGAGGATAGTATGACCCCTAAAGAGGGTCGTTTGAATTATTCCCCTCCCTCCCCCCTTCCCTTGGATATTAAAGGTATGGGAAATTTGTATTTTGGAATATATGAACCAAAAGAAAAATAAATATTCAGAAAAATGAGTAACTCCAATATAATCATATATCAAAGCATTGCGCCTAGTATTTAAGTACCAAAAGAGATCATTGTTTTCAATAAGAAAGACTGATTTCTATGACAAGGCAGATTACACAAGCTTGTTGCCTTCTATTTCTTTTAACATACTTACGGCAATGAAATTCCTTGTCTGTTTACATAGTAAAAGGACATGTTGGGTATAAACTTGGACCCAAAGAAATGGAATTGAAAATTTCAAGCACACAAACCAGTTTTGCAGTTGAATCACCAGACCACTTTTCCCACTTCTCCTCCATCGACTGAAAATATATTAAAGCATAGACTTAGTTATATTAAAATGTGAGTTTATACATTCACAAAATGTAATTTATAAGTTTGGTAGCCTTATTTTTCAAGAATCAGAGACTGTTTAGTTGGAGCTTGTTCCCCCAGCCATATGGACTAAGAGAGACTCATATTAAGGGAATGGACAACATCATCGCTGATATGCTCTCTAGAGCTTAGGCATATCTACTGAACAGTTGTAAATTGTAGAACACCATGAAACAAGCCCTGGTCTACCCATTACATGAGATTTATTGAATAAAGAACATAAGGGTATTGTTATAAACTCTACAAAATACTGAAGAATTTTGAGTGTTATCAAGTGACATAGTGTTCACTGACATAACAGTAGGAAATATAAAACTGAATTCTGAAAGTGCTGCAAGGTAGACGGGGGGGGGGGGGGCATTTACATTGACACAGAGATCTCTCCTATGGTTAGTGATTTGAAGATGAAAATTGGTAAACATATTGAATAGAGTATACACGACATTGACACAGAGCTAAAATCCCATGTTGGCAATACCCTATTATACTGTTACGTGAGGACTAAACAATGTGGAAAGAGAGTACAAAGCATTGAATATAAACTCAAATCAAATTTGGTCTTCTTTGGACGTGTTTTAAACTTAAATATGCCTTCGTTCGGACATGGGAAGTTCCAAAGAATTAAATCTTCTTTAGCTTAACAGAATACATGGACTTGGCAAAAGTGTTCAATGGCTACAGGATATGCATACAAACCTCACACAAGTTCATTTGTCTTTGTAAATCCAACTCTTGGTAGCGTAGCCCTCTGATCTGAAAGAGTTGAGTACGGATATAGAGCATGTATAAAGCATGTGATCCAAACAGGACACTGTTACCCCAAATTTAATATTATATATGGACATTTTATAAATACATTTCAAGTAAAAAAAATCAGTCGGCTTCATTTTTTTAAGTTTCAATCCATGTTTTAGAAAAGGCAACACTTTCCCTGTTGGAGCCAAGTGTGTACCTAACTAATTACCCAGTGACATGACTAAACGGCTAAAAATGGTAGGAGGACAGAACAAAACATTGAGGGCAGCTTGGCAGCAATGATCGTTGGCTACAATTATGCGTACAAACCCTGTTTTCTGCAGATGTGTAAAGAGACAACTCTTGGTTGGCTGGATTGAGCATTTGAAAAAGAGTTGAAGAGAGATTCAAGATCATTTATAAAGCATGTGATCCAAAGAGGTTTGTATGACCCGCAAAGGGAGTCGTTTGAAGTATTCTCCATTTGTAGGCATTTGTTGGAGCTTGTTCCTCCAGCCTCATGGACTAAGAGTGACTCATATTAAAGGAATGGACAACATCACCGCCGATACGCTTTCTCGAGCATAGGTATATCTACTGAACAGTTGTAAGTTGTAAACAAAAAACATGAAACGGGCCCTGATCTACCCATTATACAAGATTTATTGAATAAAGAACATGAGGCTTTTGTAACAAACTCTATGAAATACTAAAGAGCTTTGAATGTTTTCAAGTGATATAGTGTACACTGACATAACAGTAGGAAATATAAAACTGAAATCTGAAAGTGCTGCAAGGTAGACGGGGGGGGGGGGGGGCATTTACCCTGACACAGAGATCTCAGCTAAGGTTAAAGCGATATGAAGATGAAAATTGGTACACATATTGAATAGAGTATACACGACATTGACACAGAGCTAAAATCCCATGTTGGCAATACCCTATTATACTGTTACGTGAGGACTAAACAATGTGGAAAGAGAGTACCCCGGTACGGTACAAAGCATTGAATATAAATTCAAATCAAATTTGGTCTTCTTTGGACGTGTTTTAAACTTTAATATGCCTTAGTTCGGACATGGGAAGAATTAATCTTCTTTAGCATAACAGAATACACGGACTTGGCAACAGTGTTCAAAGGCAAAAGTTTATGCATACAAACCTCTAAAGAGATCCTTTGTCTTTGTAAATCCAACTCTTTATCGCATAGCTCACTCATCTGAAAGAGTTAAGGAAGGATAAAGAGCATTTATAAAGCATGTGATCCAAACAGGACACTGTGACCCCAAATTTTATATTGGACATTTTATGAATACATTTCAAGTAAAAAAATCAGTCGGCTTCATTTTTTTAAGTTTCAATCCATGTTTTAGAAAAGGCAACACTTTCCCTGTTGGAGCCAAGTGTGTACCTAACTAATTACCCAGTGACATGACTAAACGGCTAAAATTGGTGGGAGGACAGAACAAAACATTGAGGGCAGCTTGGCAGCAATGATCGTTGGCTACAATTATGCGTACAAACCCTGTTTTCTGCAGATATGTAAAAAGACAACTCTGGGTAGGCTAGATTGATCATTTGAAAAAGAGTTAAAGAGAGATTTAAAATCATTAATAAAGCATGTGATCCAAAGAGGATAGTATGACCCCTAAAGAGGGTCGTTTGAATTATTCCCCTCCCTCCCCCTTCCCTTGGATATTAAAGGTATGGGAAATTTGTATTTTGGAATATATGAACCAAAAGAAAAATAAATATTCAGAAAAATGAGTAACTCCAATATAATCATACTAGCAGGACCCGCGGAAATCCGCGGGATTCTAGAGGGGGGCGGGGGGTGTAAATAGTATAGAGACTGTCTAAATTAAAACCACCAAGAACTTTCTTTGCCATTCAGGCCATTAAAAAATATACATGTTAAAGGCACACTGCCATACTTGTAGCTACTTGCTCCCTCTAGATAGAAAACTTCCCCAATCGGTGCCTGTTGGTCCCCCATGATCCTCTTTTTCTTATGTTAAATGAGAGCCGAGTTAATGAGATAGTCACCTATCACAGTGACCTCGACGGCTCGCTGTGTGGTCTAATCCCTTCTTGCCCAGTAGTGGTGACGGTCTTTAAGCGTCCCCGCCTGCTTCCTTTTTGGGGGCCGCCTCCTCTTTTTTTTTTTTTTTTGAAATTTTTTTAATTTTTTTTTTTTTTTTTTTTTATGAAAGAAAAAAAACAGCGTCCCCGCCCGCTTCCTTTTTGCGGGCCGCCTCCAATTTTTTTTTTTTTTTTTTTTTTTTTTTGAAAGAAAAAAAAACATGAAAAGCACTGCTAAAATGTATTTCTGATTAAAAAAAAAAAAAAAAAAAATTGTCGGCCGCCATCTTGAAAAATAGCCCGAATGTCAGGAAAAATGTACGGAGCGGCCATTTGAAAGAAAAAAAAAAGGGCCTCCTCCTTCCCATTTTTCGAAAAAACAGGACGCTATAAGCATGTTTTTTTTTAATTTGGCCTTATATTAAATAAAAAAAACAATCCAACTGTACCGGTAGTTATTCTTTCAGCCACTGGAACAGGCAAAAAATTAAGTTTTTCATTTCGGGGGCTCCATTTCAAATTTTTGGAAACTTTCGGGGGCTCTTTTTTCCATTTCGGGGGCTCTTTTTTCTGGGGCTACTTTTTCATTAATTCATCAAAGGATAAGCCTACAGTTTGTTGAGATTTGTTTAGTAGGCTAATGTTTCGGGCTTCCTGCTTCATAATTGCCTATTAAAAAAGAAACTCCTTTTTCTAGTTCAATAATTAAGACCCCGTTCTCACTCACTTTGAAAGTGGTCTAGTTAGACCGCTCCAGACCGCTCCAGAGGAACGGGTCTTGAGGAACGGTTTGCGAGCGTTCACACTCCGAGCAGTTTTTATGGCTCAAACCGCTCCACGAGTCAAAGTGGTCTTGTTGCTATGGCAGCTCAGGTAGGCGGGTCAATTTTTTCGCGCGCGGAATCCAAACCCTATGTCACCTGATGTCCCGTTCGCAACGCGTCCCGTATACATGTATATGTGTAGTGCCTGCCCGATCGCTCATCGCGCGGAACGTCATTTCCGTTCAAAGTACGCTTTCCGTTCACATTGAACGTTGGAGCGCTCTGGAGCGCTCTTAATAAGACCCGCTCCTCAAGACCACCTCGGAAGGTGGACTTCTGGAGCGGTCCAGAAGTCCGCTTCCTGGACCACTTTGAGCGTTCTCACTCACCTAAGAACCGCTCCTGAGGAGCGGGTCTTAGTTAGAGCACTCCAGAGCGCTCCAACGAAGTGAGTGAGAACGGGGTCTTAGTTTTCATGCATTGATTTGATGGAAGAACTGTAACATAATAGACCCTAGATAGTGATTATTTCTGGCCATGAATTCCGATAATCATTTTACAAAGTAAAATTTTCACAAGAAAATCAAACAGTCTTTTAAAAACGTAGACATTAGAGTCTAGTAATACTTTTACTAATTCTAAGCTCAGGTTTCGTAAATCTATTCACGAAACTATATTGAAATCGCGGCAATAATGATGCAAACTAACAGATAACAATTTCAAAGTGTCAAATCTCTTCGACTCGAATTCAACTCACACACTGCTGCATAACTGCAGCGTAACTCCAGGAAACTTCAACACCGGCGCCGCAGGCGTCGGACGCCTGCGCTACCAGTGTTGGAGCTTCCTGGAGTTAACTGCAACTCAGCTCATCTCACACACACTACACAGTGGCAATGCACTGTATTGTATGCGTGTCAGTTACGGTGATTTTGTCTGATTTTCTTTACTTTGAAGAAATGATTATCAAAATTACGTAAACATGGCGAGAACATCACAAAATAGGCTTTAGTTTCATACCTCTATTTATGGAAACTTTATAATATTGCAGCAATCGTGAATTCGTGATGGAAATTGATTGATTGAGTTTCGCGATGTTTAGTGGTTCATGGTCTAGATCCAGCTTCTACCAAAACAAAATCGACCGCCAAAAACTCGAGCCCTACGCTCCGTCTCGATCTCGCAACTGCGAAAATGTACGTGTTTTGGCGTACTTGCGTGCGACATGGTAAGCCAGGTAAGGTATGGAATATGGTTCGAGTTTTTTTACGACCGATTTTTGTGTATACAATTTTATACGGATAGTCATCGGTCGTGTGTCTACGCATGTAATGTTAAATATCCATGAGGTATCTCTGTCGTCACGCATATCCTGCATTATGCATGTCGCGTCTGTTTTCGCCCTGGACGTCGACACGGAGGAGGACCTCGGGCGGAGTGTAGCCAATTCCACAGAGTAGACTCTCCCGCGGACGATGGCACCGGGCACGGGTACCCCGAGGGGAGGGTTCAGGAGGAGATAGCCGCACCAACTTGGGTCGGCGATCTCATTAAAAAACAATAGAATACAAAGGCTCGCCGAGACGTCGCGCCCCCCGCGGAGCCTTAGCGTATTACTTATATAGAATATCAAAGCATTGCGCCTAGTATTTATAAGTACCAAAAGAGATCATTGTTTTCAATAAGAAAGACTGATTTCTATGACAAGGCAGATTACACAAGCTTGTTGCCTTCTATTTCTTTTAACATACTTACGGCAATGAAATTCCTTGTCTGTTTACATAGTAAAAGGACATGTTGGGTATAAACTTGGACCCAAAGTAAGAAATGGAATTGAAAATTTCAAGCACACAAACCAGTTTTGCAGTTGAATCACCAGACCTCTTTTCGCCCTTCTCCTCCATCGACTGAAAATATATTAAAGCATAGACTTAGTTATATTAAAATGTGAGTTTATACATTCACAAAATGTAATTTATAAGTTTGGTAGCCTTATTTTTCAAGAATCAGAGACTGTTTAGTTGGAGCTTGTTCCCCCAGCCATATGGACTAAGAGAGACTCATATTAAGGGAATGGACAACATCATCGCTGATATGCTCTCTAGAGCTTAGGCATATCTACTGAACAGTTGTAAATTGTAAAACACCATGAAACAAGCCCTGGTCTACCCATTACATGAGATTTATTGAATAAAGAACATAAGGGTATTGTAATAAACTCTACAAAATACTGAAGAATTTTGAGTGTTATCAAGTGACATAGTGTACACTGACATAACAGTAGGAAATATAAAACTGAATTCTGAAAGTGCTGCAAGGTAGACGGGGGGGGGGGGGGCATTTACATTGACACAGAGATCTCTCCTATGGTAAGTGATTTGAAGATGAAAATTGGTAAACATATTGAATAGAGTATACACGACATTGACACAGAGCTAAAATCCCATGTTGGCAATACCCTATTATACTGTTACGTGAGGACTAAACAATGTGGAAAGAGAGTACAAAGCATTGAATATAAACTCAAATCAAATTTGGTCTTCTTTGGACGTGTTTTAAACTTAAATATGCCTTCGTTCGGACATAGGAAGTTCCAAAGAATTAAATCTTCTTTAGCTTAACAGAATACATGGACTTGGCAAAAGTGTTCAATGGCTACAGGATATGCATACAAACCTCCAACAAGTTCATTTGTCTTTGTAAATCCAACTCTTGGTAGCGTAGCTCTCTGATCTGAAAGAGTTGAGTACGGATATAGAGCATGTATAAAGCATGTGATCCAAACAGGACACTGTTACCCCAAATTTAATATTATATATGGACATTTTATAAATACATTTCAAGTAAAAAAATCAGTCGGCTTCATTTTTTAAGTTTCAATCCATGTTTTAGAAAAGGCAACACTTTCCCTGTTGGAGTGTTATCAAGTGACATAGTGTACACTGACATAACAGTAGGAAATATAAAACTGAATTCTGAAAGTGCTGCAAGGTAGACGGGGGGGGGGGGCATTTACATTGACACAGAGATCTCAGCTAAGGTTCAAGCGATATGAAGATGAAAATTGGTACACATATTGAATAGAGTATACACGACATTGACACAGAGCTAAGATCCCATGTTGGCAATACCCTATTATACTGTTACGTGAGGACTAAACAATGTGGAAAGAGAGTACCCCGGTACGGTACAAAGCATTGAATATAAATTCAAATCAAATTTGGTCTTTCTTTGGACGTGTTTTAAACTTTAATATGCCTTAGTTCGGACATGGGAAGAATTAATCTTTTTTAGCATAACAGAATACACGGACTTGGCAACAGTGTTCAAAGGCAAAAGTTTATGCATACAAACCTCTAAAGAGATCCTTTGTCTTTGTAAATCCAACTCTTCATCGCGTAGCTCACTCATCTGAAAGAGTTAAGGAAGGATAAAGAGCATTTATAAAGCATGTGATCCAAACAGGACACTGTGACCCCAAATTTTATATTCTATGTAGACATTTTATAAATACATTTCATAAAACAAGGGAAACGCTTTCGGCTGTCTCGCCTTCATTAGCAGGCCCCAAAAAATGAAATCCTCTGAATATAATCACATTTTGAAGTGAATAGTGACTAAGAATCACCGGAAGAACTATTTACTATTAATTGTACCACGATCGATAACTTGAATGAAATATGAACAAATTAATAATAAAATTATTAATTCTCATATTAAGTTGTGAATATTCCAAGTCTACTGACCTTTGACCTTGTGACCTTGTGACCTGGAATTTGTGTCATATGATTTGTGATACTTGATAACCCTTGGGTACAAGTTTCATGGAATTTGAACGAACAATTTTGAAAATATGCTAAAAATCCAATATCTTGATGTTGATGCCACAACACAGTCTAAGTTTGTTGACCTAAAATGACCTTTGACCTTAACTTAGTGACCTGAAATTCTAGTCACATGATTGGGGATACTTGGTAACCCTATAGTCTAAGTTTCATTGACTAAGAACATACACATTCAAAATTATATCAAAAATTCAAAAACTTAACCTTAGGTTAAGTTTTTGATGTTGACGTTGTCGCCGCCGTCGCCGTCAACGGAAAAGCGGCGCCTATGTCTCGTTTTTTGCTACGCAGGCGAGACAAAAATCAGTCAGCGTCATTGTTTTAATTTCAATTCATGTTTTAGTAAAGGTAACACTTCCCCTGTTGGAGCCAAGTGTGTACCTAACTAATTACCCAGTGACATGATTTAACGGCTTAAAATGGTGGGAGAAAAGAACAAAATATCGAGGGCAGCTTGGCAGCAATGATCGATGGACGACCATGCTCCTGAAAAATAGAAGAAGGTTATACTCCCGACCTCACGCCCCATGGTATTCAGAAGCCCTGCAGTAGATGAAACGGGAGAGACGACGATGTGAATGTAAAATGAGATGGTCTTCCCTCCAAGTAGACAAAGATATTTACCAGACAAAATGCAAGGTCTGCAACGAACAGATCAACCTGGCCAAGAATCAGTACATACAGGCAAAGATCTCAGATTTCAATCAGAAAGACCTGTTCCAAGTTGTACGTCAATTAACCTCACCAGTACATACCCACATCCTTCCTCAACACGAATCTTCTGCTCAGCTTGCGAATCGGTTCGTTGATTACTTCCAAGAGAAAATCAAACATCTCCGAGATGACCTGAATCTTGTGATTCATAATGACCTATCGGTCGATATCTTAGAGACATATCAATCAACAATGGTAGAATTCGATATCACCAAGGAAGATGAGATTCTCACCATTCTTAAGTCCACATCGACAACTTCCTTTGACCTCGACCCTATGCCTATACCCTTTCTGAAGAAGTGCTTATCTTAACTTCTATCTGTGATGACTAAGATTGTCCACGAAAGTCTACAATCTGGGGTTGTTCCTGTATCACTGAAGGAAGCTGTCATGACTCCTAAGCTGAAGAAGCCTGGCCTCTCACCTGAAGTACTTGCATACTAATGGCCTATTTCTAACATCAGTCACATTAGCAAGGTCATCGAAAAGGTTGCAGTTGCCCAGATACAGGAATACCTGACATCACATGACTTGCTTCCTCAGACACAATCGGCATATACATCTCACCACAATGTAGAAACGGCCTTACTGCGCATTAACAACGACATCTTCATTGTGTTGGACAAGCACGTGGAAGCCATACTTGTCCAATTAGACTTCACAGCCGCTTTTGACACGATCGATCACCTTCTCATCCTAGATCGATTTTTCCGTCGTCAAGGACTCGCAGGTACTGTCCTCAGCTGGTTGAGATCGTACTTCTCACAACGGAGTCACGTCGTCAAAGTTGGGACCAGTACCTCACGAACTGTCGAGGATACTATCGAGGTTGCTCAGGGTTCTGTCATGGGGCCACTTACGTTCACCCTATACACCGCACCGATCAACGACATCATTTCAGCTCAATAGCATGATCTACGCAGACGACACCTAGATCTATGCCATATTTCATCCTTCAGAACGTTATGTATTCACTTACAAACTGAACGCATGCATTGAGGACATTCGAAGTTGGGCTGTTCGAAATCAACTTGCCATAAACGATAAGAAAACAGAGGTTACTGTTACATTTCCATCAAGATTCCTTGATCGGCCCAATCCCAGCGTTACCGTGATGGTAGGTGACACCAACATAGCGGCATCAGCAAAGGCAAGAAACTTGGGAGCTAGCATTGACCACCAACTTACGATGAAAACCCAAGTTAAGAACATCTGCAGATCTTCCATGGCAAAATCGGACAGATCCGGATGTACCTTAATTGACACTAAAACAACGAATAAACTCGTCCATGTATTCGTCATTTCACGACTGGATCGACTCATGCAACTCTCTACTCAGTTGCCTCCCAGACACAGAACTGAACAAACTACAACGCATTCAGAATACCGTAGCCAGAATGATTGAGCAATCCCGACGGTCAGAGCACATATCACCCATCCTCCTTCGTCTCCACTGGTTGCCTGTCACTGGTTGCCCTCACTCTCCGATCTTAGCAACAAAGTCCACTACAAGTTCTACGCACGAACCCATACTCAATTCTACGGCGAAAGATTCCTCAGCTACTATGGACCCACCCTATGGAACAGTGGCGGATCCAGGGGGGCCGAAACGGCCGCGGCTCCCCCTATTGGCGGCGCAAAAAAAAGGAAGAAAAAAAAGAGGAAGAAAAGAAGAGAAAAAAAGAAAGGAGAAGAGGAGAAAAAAAAGGAGAAGAGAAAAGAAAGGAGAAGAGAAAGGAAAAAAGAAGAGAAAAGAAAATAGAAGAGAAAAGATAAATAAAAAGCCCCCCCCCCCCTCCCTCTAACTCCGGGGTAGGAGGGACCGAATTTGTGTTCCCTAAATTTCCGATAAAGAGTTACTTTTCACGAAACAAAGTCCGGCCCGCAATACACAAAAATCCGGCCCGTACTGACTTTACACACCGGAGACAGAGGGGTGCTTTCAAAGAGAGGGAACATACATGTGCGTACCCTAGATAACACTGAGAGGGTGAAGGGGGGGGGGGGTGGGGAAAAGAAAAGTCGGTGAGAAAGGGGGAAAGGCAAGGAAATGGCGCTAAGTGACAGTAACGACAAATATGGGAAAACTGTAATCGGGAGATTAGGGGACATTCCAGGAGGCTCATTGGCAAACGTTATTGAATAGAGGGGGCCGGGCCGGCCGCATAAAATCTCGAGCCGCGGATTCAAAGTTAAACGTTAAGAACAGCCCCTGCGGTCATCACTCTTTAGTGAGAAATTTGAAAAAGGGCACAACATTTTGGATGTCTTTTAAATAGAAGTTATATACTCAACAGTCAAATTTTAAATTAACGGTAGGGCCGCTTGACAACTCTTATTTTGCCCTTCATTTGGATTCAGCTCGTATCGACTCGCTTGTGATTGTATTAGAACTCATGTTGGTAGTAATCATGGACAGCTAGGGGCGGCGATCCTGGGCCCGATATGGGGACAAGTCTCCCAGGAAATTTAGAAATATAGCTAGAAATAAATATAGCGGAAAGAACGTACATATCGGGCTTAGGGATTTTTTAGAATGCATAATTTCAGCATTCAACATTGCAAAATCTCGTTTGGTCGCTACGCCCCGGCCCGGCCCTCGCCCGATAACACAAAATTATGACGCTCCCGGTCGTGATTTATCCATGGTAGCTGTAATATAGAACGGTACAACGAATCGTCTTCTTTCTGCAATAATTTAATGAAATGTCAAAGCTTCCGCGCATCGCTCGGGAGGGGGGCAACTGAATTCAGACAAGGATTGGGAGTCAAGAATGGTAAAACGAATCATCTTCTTTCTCTAATAATTTAATGAAACGTCAACGTTTCCGCGCTTCGCTCGGGAGGGGGGGGGGGGGCGGGAACTCAATTCAGACAAGGATTAAGAGTCGAGAACGGTACAACGAATCGTCTTCTTTCTCTAATAATCTAATGAAACGTCAAAGCTTCCGCGCTTCGCGCGAGAATGGGGGGGGGGGGGAACTCAATTCAGACAAGGATAAAGAGTCGATGACGGTACAACGAATCATCTTCTTTCTCTAATACTTTAATGAAACGTCAACGTTTCCGCGCTTCGCGCGGGAGGAGGGGGGGCGGGAACTCAATTCAGACAATGATTAAGAGTCGGGAATGGTACAAAGAATCGTCTCCTTTCCCTTATAATTTAATGTAACGTCAAAGCTTCCGCGCTTCGCGCGGGAGGGGGAGGGGGCGGGAACTCAATTCAGACAAGGATTAAGAGTCGAGAACGGTACAACGAATCGTCTTCTCTCTCTAATAATTTAATGAAACGTCAAAGCCTCCGCGCTTCGCGCGGGAGGGGGGGGGGGGGAACTCAATTCAGACAAGGATAAAGAGTCGATGACGGTACAACGAATCATCTTCTTTCTCTAATAATTTAATGAAACGTCAACGTTTTCACGCTTCGCGTGGGAGGGGGAAAACTGAATTCAAAGAAGGATTAAGAGACGAGAATGGTAAAACGATTCGTCTTCTTCCTCTAATAATTTAATGAACCGTCAAAGCTTACGCGCATCACACGGGCAAGGGAAAACTTAATTCAGACAAGGAAGAGTCGAGAATGGTACAAAGAATCGTCCACTTTTCGTTATAATTTAATTAAACGTCAAAGCTTCCGAGCTACGCGCGAGAAGGGGGAGGGGACGGGAACTCAATTCAGACAAGGATTAAGAGTCGAGAATGGTACAAAGAATCATCCCTTTTCCTTATAATTTAATGAAACGTCAACGTTTCCGCGCTTCGCTCGGGAGGGGGGGGGGGGCGGGAACTCAATTCAGACAAGGATTAAGAGTCGAGAACGGTACAACGAATCGTCTTCTTTCTCTAATAATCTAATGAAACGTCAAAGCTTCCGCGCTTCGCGCGAGAATGGGGGGGGGGAACTCAATTCAGACAAGGATAAAGAGTCGATGACGGTACAACGAATCGTCTTCTCTCTCTAATAATTTAATGAAACGTCAAAGCCTCCGCGCTTCGCGCGGGAGGGGGGGGGGGGGGGAACTCAATTCAGACAAGGATAAAGAGTCGATGACGGTACAACGAATCACCTTCTTTCTCTAATAATTTAATGAAACGTCAACGTTTTCACGCTTCGCGTGGGAGGGGGAAAACTGAATTCAAAGAAGGATTAAGAGACGAGAATGGTAAAACGATTCGTCTTCTTCCTCTAATAATTTAATGAACCGTCAAAGCTTACGCGCATCACACGGGCAAGGGAAAACTTAATTCAGACAAGGAAGAGTCGAGAATGGTACAAAGAATCGTCCACTTTTCGTTATAATTTAATTAAACGTCAAAGCTTCCGAGCTACGCGCGAGAAGGGGGAGGGGACGGGAACTCAATTCAGACAAGGATTAAGAGTCGAGAATGGTACAAAGAATCATCCCCTTTTCCTTATAATTTAATTAAACGTCAAAGCTTCCGCGCTACGCGCGGGAGGGGGGGGGGGGGACGGGAACTCAATTCAGACAAGGATTAAGAGTCGAGAATGGTACAACGAATCGTCTTCTTTCTCTAATAATTTAATGAAACGTCTAAGATTCCGCGCTTCGCGCGGGAGGGGGGGGGGGGGGGAGGAGGGGAACTGAATTCAGACAAGGATTAAGAGTCGAGAATGGAACAACGAATCATCTCCTTTCTCTAATAATTTCATTAAACTATGAAAGGCCAAAGCTTCCGTGCTTCGCGCGGGAGGGGGTAAACTGAATTCAGAGAAGGATTAAGAGTCGAGAATGGAACAACAAATTATATTTTTCTCTAATAATTTCATTAAACTATAACATGTCAAAGCTTCCGCGCTTTGCGCGGGAGGGGGAAAACTGAATTCAGAGAAGGATTAAGAGTCGAGAATGGAACTACAAATCGTCTTCTTTCTCTAATAATTAATGAAAGGTCAAAGCTTCCGCGCTTCGCGCGTCATTTGGGGGGGGGGGGGGGGGAGGGGGGTTAGCGAGCTACCCGCATATGATTTTTTGACATCTTTTCTCGTTTATTTTGGTTATAAATAACACTTTCACAAAATACATATTTTGCTCTAATTGTTGCTCGCTCGCTTCGCTCACTAGCCGAATTGTGAAACCAGAAAGTTACTTTTTTGGATAAGAGGCTATAGCCCCCCCCCCCCCGATGAAAATGTCAAAAATTGTAATGGTATGGTGCTTCTAATATGACCTTGAAAAAAAACGGTCGGCGCAATTTTCAAACTTCCGGCCCCCCCTATTGGAAAATCCTGGATCCGCGCCTGTGGAACAACCTCCTCCTCAATATTCGTAACGCCACGACGGTCGATTCATTCAAATCATTTCTGAAGACATTTATGTTCATTCAATAGTCTGTAATTATATGGTAGTTTATGTCAAATAATGTTATTTCTTTACTACAATAAAAGATCAAATTATTTAACTATTAGAATTGTGTTCATAATTTTAGGCTTATACCGAAAGGGTGGGTAGGGTAGCGTCCATCCGTCCAAAGCCCCCCCCCCCCCTTGTTCTCCCGAAAGTGTGCGTTGACTAGTCTTCCACATCAGTCGTTTATAATTTAATTTAAGGAATAGTAATTTAAGTCGTTTAAATTCAAATAATCAAAATATAAACAGATTAAAAATTAAATCAAACTAGTTTTTACGTAGTCTTGCAGATCAGGCGTTTATAAGAATTAAATCAATAAATAACAAGAAACACAATCAAATAACTATAATATCTAAAATGTCTAATAAAGGTGTTTACCTAGTCTTGCATATCAGTCGTTTATTTATTAAAATAACAAAAAATAATATTCATTTCTTTCTATGTATAGAATTCAGAAAGCCCCCCCCCCCCCCCGCTCGCTTATCCCGAAAGGGTGCATTATGGTGGTAGGCCTACTCCGTTATTTATTTATTTATTCGTTATTTCATTTGTAAAGACTGTTAAGCATGACTAGTTTACATCAAAAAAGAATTCTATACATAGAAAGAAATGGATATTATTTATTTGACCTTTTAAAAATATTTATTAAATTCATTAATTGATGCAAATCTTATAAACAACTGATCTTCAAGACTACGTAGAAGCTAGTTTGATTTAATTTTTAATCTGTTTCTATCTTGATTATTTGAATTGAAACGACCTAAATTACTATTCCGTAAATTATATTATAAACGACTGATGTGGAAGACTAGTCAACCATTTCGGCCAAACGGGGGGGGGGGGGGGGGGGGGCTTTCTGAATTCTATACATAGAAAGAAATGAATATTATTTTTTGTTATTTTAATAAATACACGACAATCCCAACGCACCCTTTCGGCCAAACCGGGGGGGGGGGGGGGAGGGCTTCGGACGAATGGTCTCATTCAAGTCAACGCGCCACAACGCGACGCTACCCACCCTTTTATCATATATATTATATCTCATTTTTTCATCATTGTATACGATTTGATTTCTGTTAATTCATGCATAATTACATCTTTAGATTAAGCATGTAATTCATTATATAATTGATTGCTGTAAAGCGTATAGAGAATTTATTATTATGCGCTATATGAAAAATGACTTCATTATTTATTATTTTATGGCTACAATTATGCATACAATCCCTGTTTTCTGCAGATGTGTAAAGAGACAACTCTCGGTAGGCTGGCTTGATCATTTGAAAAAAAAGTTGATGAGGGATTCAAGATCATTTATAAAGCATGTGATCTAAAGAGGATATTATGACTCCCAAAGAGGGTTGTTTGAATTATTCCCCCCCCCACTTGGATATTAAAGATACTATGCCCCTTTTGCAGCCAACCTCAAATTCTGTAGAACTTTGCAGGAATTATGAATATGTCATGTATGTCCTATCTGTGAAATGTAAACGTTAGCAGTGTCCTTATATTCAAATTATGCAAGGAAACCTGTTTACTTGCTAGACTTTCTAGACACTGTCAGACACTATTGTCAGTATTGAGTGAGTGATTGACATTTTTCTTCTTGGTAATAACATACATAAAATGAGCTGTAAAGGATTTGTCTCCATCAATAACCTACTTCTTGTAATGGCCAAAATTAAAGTGATTGAATCTTTGCGCAGCATAAAACGTACGACCATGCGGTACAATGGTCTGAAAATCAAGACTATTACTTATTGGCTCTCAAGCTCCCAAGTCGATTTGGTAACTAATAGTCGTTATTTTCCCACTTAAAGACATTTTCAAGCCCCCCTTTTTTTAAGGGGAGTTCTAAATTAGTATTATCTTTCAAATGCCATTGAAATTTAACCTTTTCATTTTTTGGGCCTGCAAATGGGACATAGTACTTTTAAAGGTATGGGAAATTTATATTTTGGAATATATGAACCAACAGAAAAATAAATATTCAGAAAAATGAGTAACTCCAATATAATCATATATCAAAGCATTGTGCCTGGTAAAGAGATCATTGTTTTCAATAAGGAAGACTGATTTCTATGACAAGACAGATTACACAAGCTTGTTGCCTTCTTAATGTATAACTGTCAAAGCTAATTAATTGAAGGTGATAGGCATTTCTTTTAACATATTTACGACAATGAAATACCTTGCCTGTTCACATAGTAAAAGGTCATGTTGGATATAAAGTTGGACCTAAAGTAAGAAATGGAATTGAAAATCTCAAGCACACAAACCTTGGGTGGGCTAGCCAGTTTGGCAGTTGAATCACCAGACCTCTCTTCTCCTTTTTCCTTGATCGACTGAAAATAAATTAAAGCATAGACTTAGTTACATTAAAATGTGAGTTCATACATTCATAACATGTATCTTATTTCCAACTTTATTCACAATTTGCTAACACTCAATCAGGCGTTTTATAGCGGCAACTCCATCATTCTTTTCTTTAAAACAAAATCGAAATGATTTTCTCCTTTAATAGAAAGTTGATCTTGGCACTGCAAGTAATAGATCTAATATTATATATTTTTCACCAATGATTCGGTTCTGAACATGTTATAGTTCAATTAATCAGCCCTGAGTATTTTCATACCATTCTTGTCCAGGCTTTGAGGGTGTCTTTAAGTCAGACATCTCCTGCGGTTTTCCAGTACAAATTCATGTATAACTGAATATTTTAAGCTACTTGTCCAAAAGCTAGACATTTTATATTTTCCGATCAATAAAAAGTTCCAACTGAAGCTACTAAAAGCAATGCACATTTGATAAGCTGTGACAAGATTTGTCATAGCATTTTGGCAATTTTATTCAAAATTAGTTTTATGAAAAGGGCTCTGATCTGCCCATTATATGATATTTATTGAATGAAGAACATTGTAATAAACTATAAAAATGCTTAAGAGCTTGGGTGTTATCGAGAAGCATATGAACACTGACATAACAGCAGTAAAATATCAAGCTGAAATCTTAAATCGATGCAAACTGGAGGGGGTGGGGTTCATGACATTCATAGAGAGCTTTCATCCAATTTCAGTTAAACCCTACTACACTGTTATGTGAGGACTGAATAACGTGGAAAGAGGGGACAAAACATTGAATACAAAATCAAAATCAACTTTGTTCTTCTTTTGAGGTGTTTGAAACTTTTAATATGCCTTAGTTTGGACATGGGAAAATACAAAGAAATAAATCTTCTTTAGCATTACAGCTACACGTGGACTTGGCAGCAGTGTTCAATGGCTACAAGTTATGCATATAAACAAGTTTCAAGTTTCAAGTTTCAAGTTTATTTGTCTTCCAGAAAACACATGTGACAAAATATAATAGAGTATAATCATAACAGTACAATGTAGAACAAAGGAAGACGAGGAGACCTTGGTTGAAGCACAGCTTGTTAAGTTAAGGCCCCCTCATATGATGTGACAAAGATAACTTATTTATGAATACAACAACAAATATGGAATATATAAAACTATTTACAAAATACTCTCAGAGAACAACTACCCAACGTTGCATCTAATATGATCTAATATGGACAAACCCAAGCCGACACCAAGTCGAGACATCAATGAGTTATTGCTCTCTGAGTGCAGAGGTCAAGTAGGAATATATGGTATATGTAGTATGTACAGATGAGAAAGAAGAAGAAAAAAGAAAAGGGATAAAGGGGGTTATATGTCAAAGTCAAGAATTAACGAAAAAAAGATCAAGAGTAGAGTTAAATATGCTACAGTACACTAACAATAAAGCTTGATAACACATTCATGTGTCATCGACATACTTGTCAAGAAAATATGACTTAAGTCTACGTTTAAAAACTGAGATACTTGAAGCATTTGTTATGGTAGTATCAAGTGAATTCCAGAACCTGGGGCCAGTGGACATTAGTGTATTCAAAGTGAAGGTTGTCCTTGCATATGGTAAATGGAGAGCAGAAGCCTGTCTAGTATTATAGCTGTGAATTTGGTTATTTCTTCTAAAGATTTGAGCAAGGGCAGGAGGGAGGTCTCCAGAGTGAATGCTAAACATGAGCATTCCAAGTTGCATTGAATATAGATCTTCTAGTTTTAGAATACTGTTTTCATAATAAAGTAGATTTGTATGTGCACGATAATTTGCTTTACAAATTATTCTAATAACCCGCTTCTGCACAACAAAAAGCCTGTGGATTTGAGTTTTGGATGATTTGCCCCATGCCAACATACCATAATTGATATATGATAAAATAAGAGTAGAGTACAAAATGAACAATACCTCTCGAGGTAAACATGATCTCAACTTATAAATAACACCAGTATTTTTTGACACCTCTTTACTTAATTTGTCCACATGAGTTTTCCAATTCAGTTTCTCGTCTATGTATATTCCAAGAAATTTCGTTGAAGTTACTCTCTCAATTGGGTTATTATTGAATGCCACTTCGCCTGGCAAAATATTAACTGAATTACTGAACAGTATATAATTAGTTTTCTGAAGATTCAAGGATAACTTATTAGCATTAATCCACTTCATTACTTTTCGAAACTCTTCATTAACAGTTTTCAACAATGTTTGTGGACATCTATGAGAAAAAAATACACTTGAGTCATCAGCAAAAAATATGAATGATAATACACTTGATGAGCGTTGAAAATCATTAATATACAAAATGAATAAAAGTGGTCCCAAAATGGATCCCTGGGGAACACCACATGTTACTTTTTGGGGACTAGAGTCAATTCCATTTAAGGACACATATTGCTTTCTTTCAGTTAGATAACTTCTAAACCAATCCAAGGCGACTCCCCTGACACCATAATGACATAATTTACTTAAGAGAATTTCATGGTCTACAGTATCAAAGGCCTTGGAAAAGTCTAAAAATGTACCAATGGTGTGTAAGCGACTATCTAAGGCAGAAGCAAGTTTATCTATAAGGTGTAAGATTGCATGTGTTGTTGTATGCTTCTCCCGAAAACCAAACTGATAATTACTGAAGACACATGTTTTGTTTAAAAATGTTATAGTTCTTACATAAATAATTTTTTCCAGAATTTTTGAAAAACAGGTTAACAAAGAAATCGGACGATAATTTGTCAGTAATTGAGAGTCACCTTTTTTAAAAATTGGTACAACTTTTGCTATCTTCATGTTTATCGGTACAACTCCGCTTGACATAGACAAATTAAAAATATGAACTAGTGGTTGAAGGATACCGACAATAACTTGCTTAATAAGTTCGTTCCCAATATGATCATACCCAGGACTTTTCTTGTTCTTGAGGGCTCTAACAATACCAAGCAATTCTTCTTCATTTGTGGGCACCAGAAATAAACTTTGCATGTTAGGTTCTACTAAGTAATCATGAAAATCAGTTTGACTGTTAGGAATATTTTTTTTCAGATTCGGACCAATATTACAAAAATATTCATTAAACTTTTCCACTATAATATTTTTATCTTCAACCATTTGGTCATCTATATTCATTTGTATTATACTTGTTACTTTAGATGCTTTTTGAAATACATTTCTTATCACCTTCCACGTGCCCTTGATATTATTGTAAGTTGCTTTAAACTGTGCTAAATAGTATTGTTTTTTGGCTGCACGCAGCACAGAAGTCAGAGTATTTCTGTAAACGGAATATTTCCTTTTTAGAGCTACCGTCCCTGCTTTCTTATACTTATAAAACAGCTCATTTTTCTTATTTATTGATTTCAGCATAGCATTGGTGACCCACGGCATACGTGGAGTTCTTCTACGGTTGTTTTTACTCTTTACTACTGGAATATTAGCATCATACAACAATAAAAACCTATTCATGAAAATATCGAAGGCACTCTCATCACACTGATTCAAAAGAACATCACTCCAGTTTGTCGCCAATAACGCCTCTCTAAACTGATTAATATTTTCTGGGGTGTTTCTTCTAACATAAATGTTCTTATGGGTGACTACAAGTTTTTTTCCCAAAGGAATTACAGTATACACAGGAAAATGGTCAGACAAGTCCGACACAACAATAGTAGATAAGGGAAAAGGTTGTAAGTTACTAAAGATATTGTCAATTAGAGTAGCAGAGGAAGCACACTGCACTGCACACTGCACACTGCATTCTGTAGTAGCGTAATTTAAGAGCATTTATAAAGTATGTGATCCCAACAGGACCCAAAAGAGGGTTGTTTAGAGTTGTTTCCCGAAGGGGATATTAAAGGTACATGTATGGAAATTTGTGTTCTTGGAATATATAAACTGTCAGATAAAAAAAACCTTTCGAAAGACAAGTAACCCCTATACGATCATATATCTAAACATTGTGCCTGGTATCTAAGTACACACAGAGATCATTGTTATCCATTGGAAAGACTTATTTTTCTGACAAGGCAGATTGACAAGCTTTTTGCCTTGTTATTATATACATGTAGCTTTCACAGCTATTTAACTGAAGGTGATATGTATTTTTACCATATGTATGGCAACTAAAAATCTTGCCTGTTCATATAGTAAAAGGTCATTTTAGGTATAAACTTGGACCCAAAGTAAGAAATGGAATTGAAAATCTCAAGCACACATACCTTGGATGGGCCAGCCAGTTTTGTAGTTGAATCATCAGACCTTTCTCCAACTTTCTGCTGAGTTTCCCCCAGGAGATGTTTTAGGTATTGGAACATTGTGTTTTGGAATAATGAACCTTAACAAAAATAAACTTTTAAAAAAATGGAGAGGAGATCATTTTTTGTAATGGGGAAGACTGATTTCTCATACTAGGCGGATTACCCAGGGTCTTTTTGTTTTTAATTTATAGCTACCACAGCTACTTGAATGAAGTTAATAAGATTTTTTTGTCCATACTTGTGACAACGAAATACCATTTTGGCTGTTCTTACAGAAAAAGGTCCTGTTGGGTATAAACGTGGAACTAAAGTAGGAAATGGAATTGAAAATTTCATTCACACAAACCTTGAATGGGGAGGACAATTCTGTAGGTGAATCGTCAGATCTCTTTCCTTCTTTTTGTTCCATCAACTGAAAAGAAATTAAAGCATATTTACATTATAATGTTACGTCCTTCCAACTTTATTACAAATTAATTACATACATGTAGTAGGGTTTAAATATCTACGTCCAGAAAGGTACACATGAAAACTGCAAGTTCAGCATAACATAAAGTTCATTTCCTCACAAATTATAATGTTCCGAACTCTAAACTCCTCCGAAATCTATGAAATTATTTGAATTCGCACTACATAGGAATGAACATTTTCAGACGCTTTTCAAACTTGAAAAGTTGTAGAGTCACTCCTGGGTTACTTCTTTGACCTAAACCAAGCGAGCTGAGATAAAACAGGTGGTATTCTGGTTCCATTCACATACCTTGGCCTGCTCTTTAGGCTTCGTAGCTGGATCGTCAGCCATCTTTGATATCTACAAGATAACCTGCATGGAGGATAGAAATAGAATTCAGGTTGACAGACAGTGGTAAAATCTATCGTTTATGGCAGCAAGAGCACTTGTCAAGCAAGAAGATGCGGTGACTGTCCTAATCTTATTTTGCCTGATTCGATTGGTTAAAAGGGAAATTCCAGTTTGGCATCAAGTTGACTTAAACAGAAGCCTACAATGTATTACAAACAAGAGAAGCTGGTCAGTGACATCCAGTTTGAGGGGGAAAAATTATTTACTTATTAACAATGTTATGGGTTTCAAAGTTGCCATACATCCATCACAAATTGGCAGCTCTATGACATATACCAATCTAATTTGCGTTCTATATATCAGAAATTATTTTATGTTCATATTGATGTTATGTATGATAACATCATTATAATGTAAAAGGCTTATCATATCAGAATTGCAGTTTTCATGCAAATACTTTCTCTATCATAGTAAATTACACCATAGTTCTTGTGTAGGCCTACAGTCATGACTGTAGCAGGAATGAAACTTACACGTTAGAGGGTTATAAGCTGTTATAAGGTGTTTTTCTTAAATGTAAAGACCAGTATTGAAATGCCCCAATTATAAAAAAAAAAATGAACTGGAAGCTCTTATTACCAATCATGTGGAAGTATATGTTTTGACTAATACATGATGATACAAATTTTGCCGGGAAACCGCCTATTAATTGATATATTTGGTAAATTAGTTTATCTATTGGTATGTGAGAGATAAACGCACGTGTCGCGCACGTGTGCGTAGTCCCATATACATCTTTATGTGTACAGTGCTTGTAACTTTACGAAGACTGGGCAATATTTCTTATCATTTTGATGATTCCAGAACCTTGCAGTACACACTAATACTTATATTCTAGATGATCAACCTTTTCTGATCGATTCCACAACGTTTCTTTCACAATGCAATCGCATGACCACAACTGGTCTTTATCTTTAATAAGAAAAAGTATTCATATATCCCTGTGTTTTAAACTCGGCATGTGTGTAGAATGCACAGGCCTCTTATCCAAAGTTAGAATCGGCAGAGGCACACGGCCGTCTTAGGAGACTTTCTCCCATTTGAGAGCTCGTCTTTTATAATGAAGACTTACATGTAGTATACAAAATAACAAAAGAAACAACGTCCCTGCCAAATTTTGCGTGTGGATCATAGCAGAAAATACTTTAAAACCAAAACTAGACAGTCAAAAGGGGTACTTTTTCTTGAGTAATCTGTTCATCATATTGTCATTTTGAGCTGAGGCATTTAGCAGCAAACTTATGTAAACAAAACAAATTGGTGTCCCAAATGGGAACTTAACAAAAGTCTCTGACATTAGAGATAGCCATGGACATTTACTGATAGTACAACCTTGTATAGTCAGTCAAAATCTGGTTTAACAAATAATTGCAACAAAAGATTATTGAACGGTTTCCAGTAGTGTTTGACATCAGGAAGAACATACTAAAGAAGATTCGACCCCAGGAAAGTGGTTATTTTCAAAATGCCGTACAAGATGGCCGCCAATACTTTATAATAGCCATAAATCATGATATATCCATCTAATAGACGTGACTTTGGTATCTAGGATTTGGGAGACGTACGTTATGGCCACCAGGAAACCTGAATATTACAAGATGGCATCCAAAATGGCCGCCAGTCTCTTAAATATATACAGTAAAGCTATAAATAGCAAGTTTAAAAATTTGTTTCAGATGTAAGGATAAACACTGGTATGTTTTGAAATAAAAGTCGCGATGTAATGTTAGTGTCTACACCTAGGCTTCAGGGGTCGACAAATCCATTATACTGAATAAAATGTGCTATGACCACCACCCGCAAATTCATGATGGTGTCCAAAATAGCCAATAAATAACTTTCATGACAGGATTTGGGTGTGTGTGTGTGTTTTGTGTTTTTTTTTTTTAAATAGACAAGTATGCAGTTGTGAAGATTAAATGTATTTTTGAGGTATGGGTTTTCATTGATATATACAAAAAGAATACATTCTTAGTTTTGTAGGTTGGTTGTTACTGTGTTCTCCAATTTGGCTGCTGGCACTGGCATGAATGCAAGAAACATGTGTCATCGAGGTGGACATGGTCGCCTTAGAGAAGTAATTTACACTTTCCTTCATTTAGCCGTCCAAAATGGCCTGCGGCATTTGGAAACAACATTGAATCATTAGCTCCAGTATGACATTGGTTTCTATCCCCTGTTTGCCGGAAGAGAGTAATTGACCAACTTAATTGTCTTAAAGCAGACAGGAATCATGACAGCATAATCCCTTAAATCCCCAAAAGAGAGTTATTAATCCTATAACAAATGTCTTTCGTAATTTGTTAAAATGTGAGTTTATACATCTAAAAATGTAATTGATAACTTTGGTAGCCTTATGTTTCGAGATAGAGTCCAAGATTTCCAACATTATGGCAATCAAGATGGTTTACTTTTTCCTGATTAAGTGACTTTAAGAAGTTTTGGGTCATACTGACTGTTGTTTGAATCATCGTTCAATTTACCCGGCATGGTTCCCATTATCTGTTAATTTTGGACTCGTGTAGAGCATTTACATTTGTATCAATGTAAACGTCACCCTACCAAACTTTTATTTTTTTCTTCAAAAGAGGATGGACCATAATTAGACATAATAAGCAGGGCTGTCAACCCTCCGTCATGGAGTCTCACGCCACCACGCTCATTCTCCCGCCGCCCCAAAAGCTGGTAGCGGGAGATTCCCGCCACTACGCATTCTTCCCGCTCTCCCGCCAAACCGTACCGTATACCAAAACAATTTTTTTTTCAATTGTGCTCTTCCCCCCTCCCCCACCTCTTATTCAGCGGCTGGCTGAGTCGTTGCGAATTTTTCCCGCTTATTCAGCGGCTGGCTGGATTTGGCACTTAATATTTTCTCAAAAAAAAAATCTCCCTCTAAGCAGTTTTCCAGAGTTGACAGCCCTGACTAAGTACCCCTAGGACTTTTAGCAAAATTGCATAAGACCAATACTTAAAAAGCATGGAATAGAACGGGATAATCATTTTGCAGTAGGCCAATTTAAGACCTATAAAATTATATCCATATTAAAGAAGTGTTATGACAATGTCACAATGAATGAATGAAAGAAAATCCAAAGAAAAACATATCAAGTGGAACATTTAACATGCAGCCTTACGGCCTCCCAATCTCTCACATATCTCCTCTCCAGCGCATCCAAAATTCAGCAGCTAGATTGATCACATTAAGTAGGAAATATGACCATATATCACCGGTTCTTTGCTTACTTCATTGGCTACTGGTCCATTCTCGCATTACTTTCAAGATCCTACTTGTTTCATACAAAGTAGCACATAACCTTGCCCCTAAATATCTTCTTGACCTAGTCTCCCTTTGATCCTTCTCTTCTACCAGAAATCACAAATTCAAGGAAAAGTATTCCAGAGACAACACTTTTATGAAAAACAACTGGGTAAATGTTTTTTCTTCAAATATGGCCCTAGTATAAATTCGCGGTTGTCTGTATTTATTATATGGCTATGAATAATACTCATTTCGAGGCGTTCAGTTTATAAAAAGTCAATTTTTGTCGCTCGCTTCGCTTGCAAATGAATCGTCAGAACATTACACTCAACGACAAAGTATGATGTAAAGCAGTGCCTACATTCAAATTCATGTAAAGATAGAAACAATGTCGAAAATGATCCTTGATAACGTATTAACTAGAATATTTTGGATTCAATGTCTCTAGTGTATTTATCAAACTTTGTGGGTTTTCCTGTTTTCTGGAAGTGTCATTTTTATTTGTGCCCCCTCTTTAAGATGTTCCACCACCTTTGAGATACAGTTATTTCAACAGTGCTTCCATAGGTATTGGTTTTCTTATAATATTATAGAAAAATAGTCGGCCTACAAACATTAAGTTTGCTATGCCATTAATATGTAAAACATTGAAATCTAGATAATCAGAAATACATGTACACACGTGGGGGAAGAGAGAGAGAGAGAGAGAGAGAGCAGAGGGAGAATAAGAAAGACGCTGAGGGTATCTAATACATACATAGCAAAAGCGCCTCAGTTTATACACAAGAAAATAGAAGAAAAATATACTGCTCAAATTCCGCTTCATTCACATCGGAAAATTATATGACCTTCTTTTCTCCTCATGTTTGCCTCTAACACTTCCTCCACAAAGTTATAAATACACCCCATACTATATAATCTACCCACATACAATCCTTTGTTCTCTTTTACATTTTTATCTCACTTCCGTGTTTAAAATCCCAATTTGTTCATACTCAATCAAAGCAGCACACGATATAATCTCACCCAAGCTAGACTTCAGCTGCTATTCTAACCTTCGATAATGACAACTTTGTTGGAAGAAGAAAAATTCATCAATATCTACTCCTAATTTGTGCTTCAGACGCAATCAAAATGGCACCGAGTTGCATAGCGTCGAACTTCAAACTAATGCGCATTTGGCAGTGATATGCATGTACACTTTCTAGAGCAACTCACATTATATGCATGCATACAATGCAAACGAAATGGCAAGCAAGAAGAAAAGAATATGACAATTGATAGGCACCGTTGCACTTTGTAAATAAAATGATATGAATATGAATAACAGCAGGCTTCTATTTGGGACCACGTTTCATTAATCGCCGTATCAGTGACAAGGTAGAAATCTGATAATATAATATGCTACTGAAATCCTTGCATTTTTCAATTGGCTGTGAACAATTTTGTTACAGCAGTTTGGCACTTGAAATTGATAACAAGTTTAAAGAAGATTGGGCCTAAAAAAACATTTTAGCGCTAGCCATAGGATGCGAATGATCTTGCTTTTCAATGGACGTGTTAAAACATTTTATGCATACTTTTTTAAACAAAAGTTTCTCTTGACGACTGAAAAACTCGCCAGAGGGTTTCCCGACATGAAAATGAATCGTCGGAACATTACACACAACGACAAAGTATGATGTGGAAGCAGTACCTACATGCAGA